CCCCCTGGCTTCGGAGACTTTCCAGAGTAATTTCCGACCGGTGCGGCTAAGCCGTCCTAAGCAGGAAGGTGCACAGTTATATACGCCGGCGTACGCTTCTGTGGGGAGGTAACATCTGGCTGCAATAACGACCCAGTTCTGACGCAGCTACGTTGCACCGAACTTTGAAAAGCTGTGGGCAATTCAATAACGGATCTTTAGATATAAACAGTTAGAGGTACACGGTCAGACCATTGGCCTATGGCAGATCGAAGTCAGGCTATGACTGTCACCAAGGGCCTCGCGACAACGGAATGTCAAACGGAACCATGCATCTCTTATATAGTTTCTTAAACAACTAGTCATTGAGGTTAGGATTACAACCTATTCCATTTAACTTGGATCAAGCATGGAGGTCAAACCGAGGTCAAAACCAACTCTTTTTCACTGAAGCAGCGCGCTTTAAAAGGCCGCCATTGATGCTCCTTCGAAATTATTTCCTGTAGGGACGTCAAGAGACATCTTATCTGGACTTTTTGCAGGTCGGAGAAGGTCACTGACCTAAGATGACCCAGCTCAACCTGTACACCAATCCGAGGTGTAATCTTTTTAACCTTATTTGACCCGTAGGTCATGGTATAGGAACCTAAAATTTGGGCCCAAGCGATTTCACATACAAGCCAACTACCCTGTAACTCTCTCAGTTTCTTAGATAGCGGGGATCAAATGGCCCCCCCCCCCTCCTACCCGATCAGAGGGTATCTGAATCGGCCACGCGGGCGCATCCTAATAGACATTCGCCTTTTTACTAAACCGTTGGCTGCGAACGCACAAAATGCTGGCAATAAACTGTATCGCCGCGAAGACACTAATCGTCGTTGCAGAAGCCCAAATTTGATAAATCGCTGAAGTTATGCTGACGACATCCGTGATGTGGTGAAACGCCTGGTGGACGACCCGCCTTCCAGACGTGTGTTCGTATATGGCTCGCCAAAACAGCCACTCAACCGTTGGCTTGACAGTGTCAGCCTGGTTACAGGGCCGGCCGAGAGTCATGTAACTGCATGGCCCAGTAAATTTCTTTCGTGCTGCTTTCGATAAGAGTCCAAGTCAGCATGGGTCCGTTGAACCGTTATTGGCAATAATGGGGTGGTGCTTCGGTGTGTGGGTAATAGCTTACTTTCAGCACAAAATCCAGCTAAAAATGTGCTTCAGCAAGATTTTGTTTTTCTGCTTTGTTTGTTGTATATCCCATTTCATAGCTGAACGTTATTTTTTAACTTACGATTGCCACACCAAATGTGGTATTCTGCAACCCGATTTTGTATCATGAGATCGTAAAACAAAGAATCTCAGGGTCCAAATAGGGGAATGTTAAGTTCGTAGCCTCCCATGGTTAGTAGACAAATATCGCTTGGCATAATTCTCCACGAGAGTAGTGAATTCTACACATCAATGTCATTTTTAGATTGCGGGAAATGTGTCTGGGGTTACGGCTGGCAGGCAAAAACACGTCATATAGATAAGAATATAACCTCCATTATCAAAAGCTACCCAATATTTGAGGAAGTGGCTGGGGTTGCGGGCAGTAGGTCAACCCGCTGCATCATTCGTGGCGACGTCACTATGCAGAAGGATGAAAGAAGAAAGTCGCTGTGTGATTTTAAATTTTACCTACGCTTTTGTAGCATTCCGGCCAAAGATATTGAGGGCCCACCTCAACATTGGGCGGGAGAAGGCCCCTCACAAAAGAATACAAACCCGACACCCGTGAGTCTTCACAGTAGAAGTATGTGGCGCATAAGTTATGAGTTACGGCCGGTAAGTTTTTGCAGTGGAAGAAAGTGTCGGGTATAATTTTTTTGGTAGATAGAGGCTTTGTCGCATAGCACATGAATACAACAATACATTTACAGTACAAGTAATCTGGCACTCCTGTCGGTAGAGGTTTTTGTTGTGGCACAAATGTCTTGGAACCCAGCTCTCAGCGGTGTGCTGTCGTTCTGAGTGGGAAGCTCGGACCTGCTCGCAGTCCTGGCCGAGTATCGCTGGGCGGCCTGCCGCGTGTCGCCATCGCCACAGCTTAATCCGACACTTCCGTGGTTGGTCAGGTCATGCCGAATGAAGTGTCATCTGGCGGCCAGGAACCGAACCCTCCGCCCACGAGCGCTGCCCGTATTTCAATCGGAGCGCCGTTTTCATCTCCCGTTTGCGTACAAACATACTCGGGCAAGGCCGTATATGACAGGTGGTACCGTCCCGACCATGCACTTCTGTGACGGTCCCTATGTGACGTCACTGTTGGTACACTTTTGACGCCGAGTAGGCCGCACGCGTGACATGAGCGACCGCCTGTATTACACAACCTTTGGTGGGTGGAGTGATTAGTGGGATCAAGCCAACTATGAATACATGAAAAAAACATTAAACCTAAGAGGTGCGTCTTATTCTGAAGGCAATTAAAGAAACGAGGCGGTTGTATAGGACCCAGGAAGCAAACTATTTGATAGCGATCCGCCGCGTTTAAGTCAAAGATGTGCTTGGCATAATGCATTATTTATAGCTTTGGAAATCACGGATGGACTCAAAACTGCAGACCCCGGAATACCAGTTTATTTTGCGCAACACAACTGCCGCCCTCCAGTGAACTTTCCCAGAGCGAATCCATCGAACATGTAGGCCCAAGTTGGCATTTAGACAAGACCCCGGTCGGGCTGATCACCTGAGACGACGAAATGGTCAGATATCGGTGTAGCCTCGGACTGTGTACAGAAGCGGGCGTGCGCGTATCTCTGAATTTGCTGCCTGATATAACTTCGAGGAGCAGGCAGGTATAACAGCGCAAGAAGCTAAGGTGCCCCAAGCTCCTCAGCGGGGCTCCCGTACCTGAGGCCCCTGGCCAGGCACATTCGCGCGGCTCCCTCTAATGGGAACAGACAAGCCGATGCGCACTAGGGGCGAGTGATTTAGCCGAAGGCTGGGCCCTGACGACTGGGCTAGTTTCACTGATGCAATGGTACCACTGGTACCGCTGGTTTGCTCCACCTTTTCCAGTGAGTAGCGGATAAGGCTTGCTCGAGCCACAACCGAAACAAAGTCTACGAGCGTACCGCGATTCATGTCCATGAGCTTTTCATACGACCATCGACCGTGAAATGTCATCTCGATAACGCTCAAGCAGGAGATGTGCTCCAGCGGGTTCTTCGACCCCACAGCTTCAGCACCCGGAGTGCCACATGCGTGATGCCGCCATCGAGCTGGAAGACACGCCCCCCCCCCGCCCCCCACTACTAGTGTGCTTGTTTGAAGGCAGGGGACGTCCATGACATGCTGTACATTCGGCCAGCATGAACAATTTGTCCTCATTGGTTCTCCAACTGATGGATCGCAATGCGGCTGTTTTGGCGACATTCAGTCCCTCACTTGACCCTTGACCACTCGATGTTGGCTGAGTTGCTATCTTGACTGACTGGGCTGCTATTGGCTGAAGACGCCCCGGTCTGGACTTGCTGCAGGTCCTTAGTACTCCCAGGAGCTGACACGCGTGGTGCAGCAGACACGCGATCCCCGACGCCAGTTCAGATCGTTGGTTCGGTGCTGGACATGCGTCCTCACCCGTTGAACGCCAGGCAGGCTTGCTCGCGTCTCGGTAACGAATTGACAAAAGGGCCTGCCGGTGACAGAAGCTCTAACAGTGGAAAACGCGCGGCGCGGGCTGCCTGGCTGTTGGGGATCCGAGCGTCGCGCAGCTTTTTCCATCCGAAGCATTTGTTAAATGTACGCGGTACATGCACCGGAGGCGCGGCCCAGAGGACTCCCGTTCCAATGTGTACCAACGCGGCCGCACGATTTCAGAGCGGGCTGTCACAGAGCTGAGACTCAGTCATGAAACACTGGCATGCGCAGTTCTGAAGCCATCATAGTACCCAACTTCGAGAGGTGCCAAAATAACGCTTGCATAGCGCTGACATGTCACTCTTAGTGAGACATTCAGAACGTCTAGGCTTACTGAGCTGACACACAATGAGGCCAAGTGAAATCTGAAGATATGCTGTGCTGTTGTTGTCCCAACCAACGCAAAGGCCATCTGACATTCGGGGTTCCGTCACTGTCCCTGTTCAGCAAATGTTCCCTAGCCTACTCGGGGTCCCTTGTCGACGCAGGACCCCTGTTAGGCACTATGAGCACTGACAGACACCCTCGGTCTCCGAATCCCAAACGGTAATGACCCGTTCTTTCCCAACCACAAACCACAAAAACCGCCAGCCGGAAGCCGGAGCATCAGTGGTTCTTCCCGCCGGCAGCGGATTAGAGGGGTATGAAAAGAAACCATGTTCAAAGCCCCCCCCCCCCTCACACAAATATTCCATCGTTATTGCTTCTCTCCGAGACAAACATCGTACTCTCCTAACCATACACTGCATAATACATAACAGCCCTCACCGCGACGAAATGATCGACGATTCAAAATAGCATTGCTTTTTATATTTTCTATTATGATTACAATGTATGCTCACTCTTCATCTTTCAACCGTCCTCACGTCGCCTTGTTTGCGTGTGCCTTATCGCCACCCTGTCGCCCATGGGAACTGATGGAGTTGCCGGCAAAAACTACCTGTCATTATTAAATTCGTCATAGAGGTTACTTATTCGCTGCTAAGCCCATATACAAGTATAAGTATGTAATAGGAAGCACCAAACTTGAAATAACAGATTCAAAATGCCCATAACGATCAGGCGTACACCCGGTGATGTCGATCAGCCGGGTCGTGGAAACACGTTTAGCGGCACGGGGATGACAACGGCGGGACTCGGGCCGTCTCCGGAATCCGGCCCCCTCCCGAGTGTGATGGCCGCGCGTGTTTCGGCGCGAGCGGCGCGGCTATGGCTTGGTCCGCGCGCGCGGCACCGCGCCGCGCCCGGAGCGGCGGCCGTACGCCCGATCGGTAACGGTGCCGGCCGGCAGCCGCGGCGCCGTCCACAGGTGCGGCGCCTCGCCTCGCCCGTTCAATTCGGTCGGTCCGGGCCGGCCGCCGCCGCCGGCCAGTGTATGAACCGCGCGGCGCTGGTGGGACGCGCGGGGCCGTATCGCGCTGTGTGTCGCTCGTCGGTCGGCACGGGGCTGGCGCCGAGCGTGTGTCGAGCGGACGGGGCAGCAAGCGGCCAGCGCCGTCGCGGGCTTTCTCCGAGGCTGGGAGCTTCAGTGACAGACAAGAGGGGACAGTGCGACTACTGAAGGTGAAGGCGGTTGAGTTGGTCCTTACGATCCGTGAGAGCTGTGCCGATACCGTTCGGACCTTGCTGCTGCGGGTTCGGAATCTCGTTCTTTGGTAAGTCGATAAGAAAGTCTGGCAATGTCGGCCGCCTTTCTTACTGGTATTTTTCGGCCGCCATGTGTTTTATAGGCATGCTTTGATACCGATGAGAGGTGGAGCGGGGTTGACAGCCTGGAATTCTCGCGTGAAGGCTCGTGTTGGGAAGCGGCATGGTACCGTTCTCAGGTACCAGTGCTCAACGTACTTGGATGTGCTGTAATCCATTCGCATGTTTTTGCATCCACGGCGTGCACTTGTGCTCTTTGGATCAAGACTTGAGCAAACATTGACTTGCCCGGAGCCTGTGTCGTGTGCCCGCCACGGCATGGCTGTCGGGATGAACGTTCACCTGGTGCCGGCACGATACCAATCCGTGGCTGTTTTTGCGAATACGTTCATAGCATGCAGTGTTGATAACCGAGAAATTCCGACGCGGCATGTTCTCGGGCGTCCTGGTAAGCTGTGTCGGCATGCACCTGACCCGGCCTGCCGCTCAGTTACCGGCCTCGGTTTCTCCCAACCGCCCAGGTTGTACAGCTTAAAGGACGCCTTATCCACTTTCACATGCAGGCAGGATCCAGGCGCGGCCTAGAGGTTATTGCCTAGCCCCTGTTATTAGACATGCGAGGTATGTTTACTGCGCGGGTCTGCGACACTAGTCCGGTTGCGCTGAATGATTATTCGTTTTCAAGAGCAGCTTCGTTCGCAAGAGAGCCTGGCAGCTTGGTATCTTGCGTAGACTGGGCAATTCCAAAAGGTTTTGTGTTACTCGGGATGCGACGTTACCGTTTGAAATGATCTATTTGTGAGGAGCTCGCGCATGTTTGTTATGAGCAGGGTTCGAGGAAGCTCTAGGCCGCTGCGGTCATCACCAGCCCGCGTCATCCGCCCCGCCGGCTGGAAAGAAAGGGACGCCAATGACGTGGCGACTGTGCCTCTCGCAACAAGCGGCACAGTGCATACACTATGGTCTTCCCTGCCATTTGAAGTCTGTGTTATCATTTCAGGAGCTAAAGCCCCCTGGGCTCGGCTGTTGGTTCACTGCTGCTGATCTGGTGGACGGGCCTCTAGGCTCGGCTGTTGGTCCCACTACTGCTGATCTGGTGGACGGGCCTCAAGGTTCGGCTATTGGTCCACTGCTGCTGATCTGGTGGGCGGGCCTCTAGGCTCGGCTGTTAGTCCACTGCTGCTGATCTGGTGGGCGGGCCTCTAGGCTCGGCTGTTAGTCCACTGCTGCTGATCTGGTGGGCCGGCCCCTAGGCTCGGCTGTTGGTTTACTGCTGCTGATCTGGCGGGCGGGTCTCTAGGCTCGGCTGTTGGCTCACTGCTGCTGATTTGGTGGGCGGGTCTCTAGGCTCGGCTGTTGGTTCACTGCTGCTGATCTGACGGGCGGGCCCAGGCCCGAATGTTGCTCAATTCTTACCCCTCAAAACGCAGTCAATCAGTAAAATGCTGGCTTACGCAAAGGAACCCCAATATAGCCTTTTTCATAGTATCAGACTCCTCGGGCGGCATTTTAGCCATCACACACCGGAAATCCAAAGACGCCCTGGTGAGTGAAATCTTACGACAGGTGATGCTTTCAAGCCGGGCCGAAAAGCACGTGGTCTTTGTATGGGTGTCAGAACACGCCGGGCTGGTTGGCGATGAGATAGCCTATGCCCAAGCCAAGGAGGCAGGCAGCTGGTCCTCGACCTAGTTCCGCTCGTGCACCATACACTGGTTTTAAAGGGTTGCTCTCCGCCCGTCCGAAAAAAAAATGGCAACGGTCCTGGGATCAGGTGAGCGCAAGACAACCCGCAACGATGCGAGGATAAGCCAAGGCAGTGAGGGGAGGGGGTGGGGAGGGCAACAAACGGGCGCCTCCCGCACCCCACTGTCATGCCCGCTGCAACCCACGGGAGTGAGAATGCCCACCAGCCTCGCTCTCGGCCACGATCACCGCCTCAGTCACCGCCGTGTGCGGGTCGGATCGTTTGCTGGGACGAGCTCGGCGCGCCCTACACATCGGAAGCTCCTGCCGCGGCCCTCCTCCGTTGTTTGGCGCGGCACGTCACGTCACGTCACGGTGCTCTGGGGCGCGGCGGGCGGGGGCGGAGCGGCGGGCCGACTCTCACGCCACCCGGCCGCCGCAGCGGCCAGAGGTGGGCGCGCGTGACTCGGCGCCGCTGCGTGCTGTTTGGCGTGGGTGCCCGCCACGCTCCGGCGCAGCCCTGACGCGCGCAGCGCAGGGAGCGGCTCCGGCTCTGCCCGCGCCATCATTGGCGAACTCAGCGGCGCGAGTGTCACCAGCCTGGAACGAGAACAACTGGTTCCCACCCCGGTCAGCGACGGCTGGTACTCGGATCCCATGGGGACGAGGAGAGGGGGCGAATATGATTTAACCCACTGTTTCCATGCAACATCGTAGGCGCAACGCGAGGTTGTGAGAAATACGGTGTGGCGGGGCTCCACTGCCACCCACATCTCCGCTGGTTCTGATCTTAAAGCTGCCTCTACGGAGGCGTCAGGGAAAACAGCTCCTATTTTCCGTCAGCCACCAACCAGCGTCCTTCGATTGGCCTTGCCGACACTACACTTAAAACCATCGCCGACCACAAAAGTAGACCTGGTCACGGGAGGGTGCGAGTGCCTCTGACCTGGCCGGCCGATTTGTAGGGCCTACAGACATGTCCAGTCCGTTTTAAGTGTCTGCGGACTCGCCTTGCCAGTCTGAAGAGTCTTCAGACTTACCGGGCCATTATGAAGGGGCTGCAGACCGTCCGGTCTAGCTCTAGAGCTGCAGATCCGGTCGGCCGTCTGAACAGCCTACAAACCCTGACGCTCCGTCTCAAGACCACGCAGACCTTTCCGGCCCGTCCGAAGTCGGCAGACCCGGCCGACGTTCGGCGAAACCGTCCCATCGGCGTCGCCATGGTAACGGCCGGCGTCTGGCCTGCCATGGCGGTGGACGGTTTGTGAGTGCCGCCATCACTGGCGACGGCCTTTGCGTGGCAGGCACGTCGGCGAGCTGTCGGCCGCCGGCCGTCGTCGGCCGCTCCGACCGACCGTGGCGCAACAGGCCGCTCCGCCGGAGTGCTGAAGCTCGGCTGCCGTCGTCCGACAACGATCGGGCGCCGGTCTGAGACGCCAGCCGGTCTGAAAGCGCTGGGTATGGCCGGCGGCTCCAGCCTCTGCGGCACGCCACCGAGTTGTTGAACGCTCTACCCGGGCCGCCCATTCCCAGCCTCAATGTTCCCTCTCAATCCCTAAAGGTGCCTTGTATCCCGATAAACACGGATCGACCTCGCGCTGGGTTTAGCGCCACACGCGCACCGCCGAGCCCACCGTCGAAAACAACGGCCACCGACACATCGATCCTTCCCAGAAGCGTGCATTTTTCATCAAATGTTCGCAGGCACGATCGGGCCGGTCACGTGGTGCTGGCATCGACCGCCGGGGTCAGGGTCGGCACCGCCGGCGGGCCGGGTGCAGCGGTTTGGTCATTTGCTGCCGGGCCCATTCCGGAGAGAGGAGCCGTGGCATTGGCCGCGGTCCTGGTCACGACAGCGGACCCTCCTGTTGCGTCGCAGGCGCTGGCGTTTGCTGGGGTATCAGTAGCCGTGAGCGGCGACGGAGAACGCGGGGACCCCGTGTTCACATGTTCGGGTTACAGGGCTCACAGTACTGTAAGCTGAGCCCGATATCGTTGAGGCTGGCGCACCTCCCGGGCCTGTGCTTTCGCGGCGTTACGACGGTCAGGCCCTAGCGCTGCATGCTGTCGCGCCGATTGCGCAGCTGTTCGTGTTATCGAACGCCTGCATGTCGCCACCATCGACTAGGGAGTGGACAGACCCGTGACCCGGGTATGCCAGTCACCGAGCCCGCGCGGCCCGGTGGCCACTGATGCAGCCGTGCCGGCGGCGGAGCCGGTGAGGCGTGGTAGCGCGACGACGGCCGGGGCGCCTCACCGCACGCCGGGCCAGCCGCGATGGTGAGCCAGTGCCTGGCGAGCACCCGGGTCACCGGGTTGACCCCATTCCACCGAGGATGTGGGTCGGGCGGCCCGCTTCGGCCGTCTCAGCCCCGGTGAAGCTTCCTGTCTCGGTCTAGGTCGCTGTGCTTCGCACCGCACCTGACCTGAGGGAGTGGTCGCACCACACGGCTGGCTGGCTGGCTGCTGGCTGGCTGGCTGGTTGGCTGGCTCTTGCCCGTGGTCTAGCGATCGGCTTTCCTGCCCAGCTGTCCGTGAACACCTGGCTATTCCCAGGATTGCTGTCTCACCTCACAGACGGACAGTGTACGTGCCACGTATACTTATTGGAGCTCAGCATATTTGCTGTACATCCGTCTGCTTTAGCGCTTGTTTGCTGAAAGAAGCTTAGGATATACAAACATTTCCCTGCGCAATGTAAAAGGGACACCTGTCGTCAATATAGCCTGAAACATGCATAATAATTCTTCTACAACGACGCTCGTAGTGCCAGGTTTAGGCCAAGGCTACCCGGAAGCTCACACCAATCCATGTTGTGTGACGAGTCTGGCCACGATGCGTCCGCACGACCGACCATGGGCGGGGGGCGGCGCCAGCGGTCGGCGCCGGACCGGGGCCGGCGCGGTCGACCCGGCGGCCGCGCCGGCTCTGCTGACGGGGTGGATTCTGGCGCCGGCTGACCCTGAGACGCTCCGCCCCGCTCTGGCGGCCGCATGGCACCGCCGCGGCCGCCGCCGACGCCCACGACCAGCGCGACTAGCCCGAGCGGAGGGCGGGCACGCATGAGCTGCTGGTGCTCTGCCCGACGAAGGGCGGCGGAATCGCATGCTAGCGCCGGCCGCTACTGTCTTGGCCTCCTGCCTCTGTCTCTCCTTCTCTATGTCTTTCTGTGTGTCTTATGTCTCCCTCTCTTTCTCCGTTTTCTTGTCTTCCTGTCACCCTGTTTCTCTGCCTTTCTGTCTTTTTTATATCTTTGTCTTTCCGTCTCTCGGTCTCTGTCTACTCTACCTCCCTCTCCTCTTTCTCTCTCTCCTCGCCTCTC